TCAGGACACTGTGAGGTGTAGGGGAGGCTGAGGATGTGGCAGGGCCTGAGCAGAGGGAGGGGACTGGATAAAGGTCTTGCTCTAAGAGGATCTGGGGCGACCGTAGTGAGGGCTGCTCTTTAATTGATTTGTTTTAGTAACTTTCCTGCATAGTGCGCAGTGGTCAATGGTAAACAGTCGTATTTATAGGACGTGCCTGCTCCGGCTCTGTGCAGTGACTGTAATACAGACCCACGCCGCCTCATTGCGGCCTGGGCAGGGAGATGCTGCTACTGTCCCTATTTTGTAGATGAAGAAACAGAGACAGAAAAGGTGAAGAAAGTTCCCCTACGTGGTCACACTGAGCATGGCTGAGCCCACACAGGTCCCCACGGGGAGCCCCTGAGTCTGTCCCAGCAGGACCCTGGGCTGCCCTGCCCTCCACACAGTCACTGGTTTGGGGGCCTTTCCTCTGACAGGGCTCATTCTGTCTCTTTGCCCCTCTCTCTTCCCCAAAAGCTTTTTATATCTCTGGCAGGAATCTTGAAAGGGAGGGAGGGCAAGATTCCCCTTCTGTAGGGATGCGTTTAGGTATCTGTTTTATGCAGGGCCCTCACAGGAAGGGACCTTGGTGGGATTCATGTTTAGGTGATTAGAACAAGCAGGAAGCGGGGCACCTGTGATGGCACCACAGTGTCCCTGAGGACGTGGTCTGTCTCTGAGGATCCCAGAGTGTCACTGTTGGTGGGCAACAGGACAGCAGGTAGCAGGAGCTGGTGTGTCTTTCATGATGAAGGTCCGGCCTCCGGGTCCTCCTTACTGGGGTGGGAAGGTCACCTGTGGTGTGTGAAGGATGTAGAGATAAGGAGCGGTGTCCACTACTGGGCCCTGGGTGTTTAGAAGGAAGGACCTGGTGTTTGGAAAGAGGCTAGTGTAGGCCCTATTTGGACAGAATGGAGCTGAGGTGTGGTTGCAACTGGGTGGGAGGAGAGGATCAGTTTCTTCCCAGACAAATATAATGGTTCCCTAGAACCACGGAGTCTTCCCAAAAGGGCCGGCAGGAGCCTAGGTCAGTGTAGTGGGCCCCCACCCCACCCCAACCAGCAGTAGGAAATGCTCTGCTCCCCCGTGGGACTGATGTGGTGGAGGCCCAGAGCTCACTGATCTGCCTCCTGCCTCCCCTAACTCCCTGACTGCCCTGACCCTGTCTCTCCCCAGCTCTGAGCACATGGAGGGCTGCTGCAGCTGCTCCTGGCTCCGTCTTCTTCCCTCCC